GAGAAGTACCGAGCTGAACGAGACGACTGTAAATGAGAGCTGCTGCTTTATCAGACACCGCCCCAGCTTCTCGCCTATTGGCCGAGGTCTAGTTTAAAGGAAGCTAAACTAGACCTCGGCCAATAGGCGAGAAGCTGGGGCGGTGTCTGATAAAGCAGCAGCTCTCATTTACAGTCGTCTCGTTCAGCTCGGTACTTCTCTCAGTAGGGTTGTTTACAGCACACAAGATTTCTGGTTAGCTTCTTAGCTTAGCCTCCTTCACAGTGGAGCTGCTACTTGCGGCCAACCGATCCAATCATTTTAAACTTGAGCAGTGGCCACGCCTCCAGCAAGAATCTCTTCTCTATTTTATTTTATTTACCGTTATTTTACCAGGCAAATCCCATTGAGATCTCAGATCTCTTTTTCAAGGGCGGCCTGGGCCTGAAGGCAACCTATTGTACATGTTTTTGTGTTGTGGGGGAAACCGGAGTACCCGGAGAAAACCCACGCAAGCACGAGGAGAACATGCAAACTCCGCACAGAAAGACCCCAGGTCCGAACCGGGGATCGAACCCAGGACCTTCTAGCTGTGGTGCGTCGGTGCTAACCACCGAGCCGTCGTGCTGACAAATATATAATTTAATTAATATAATATAACTTTAAAGATTTTTTGGAAGCATTTATTTGAGCAATAGTAACAAAAAACATGATTTTGAGCAAAAACGCCTTAATGAGRTATTTTCTCTGAGAGTTAGCAAAGATTTTTTTCTTTCCAGCTGGGAAATCTTATTATCCAAATATTATTTGAGGTTTCCTCTAAAAAATGACACCAAAATACCTCTTTAGAATAACCTAAAAATAGGATTTAGACCAAATATTAATGTATCATTGGGATTAACAAAACAAATCAAGGCATATTGTGGAAGAGGAGCATATTAGTAGAAAGACAACACAAAGACAGTGTAGCTGTGTGATTTAATCAGGAAAAAAAAAACAGCTTTTTTGATTTGGGCTTCCAGTTTCTGTATGCATACGAGTTAATCCCTCACCTTGTGACATCCAGAGCTCTCTGAACTTTGGCCTGTACCGAGCCCAGCAGGTCCGCTCCCATCTTCTTCAGCAGCTGAGTGAGCAGGACAAACAGCCAATCCTGAAGGTCGTCCCTGTGGACCTGGATGAAGTCCACCAGAGTCTCCAGGAACATGCTGAACACCTAAACACACACACACACACACACGCAGTTTAGATGACACACAGATGAACCCAGACAATAAAAAACMAAGTACTTCATGCACACAAACACACAAACGCATGCATCAGGGAACTGTCACACTGTTAGGATGGGTACACATTGCTCTGCATTGGGATGATGTAAAAAAACAGCATTAGTTCTCTGAGATATTAGTGGTTATTCATCATCGCAGCAGCTCATCTTTATTCCCAATCACCAATTTAGATCACCCAAATTATAAAAAAACAAACAAACATTAAAATTAGCAAAGAAATGCAGTGAGATTTAATGAGAATTAGGACCAGTCAGGTTAAGAGGTGCCRGTAGTTGATTTAAGCGTAGCGGTGAATTTACAGGCACCATCACATGACACGGGTTAGTGGGTGTTATGCAGTAACCTTGGTAACYGATAATCAATCAGATTAAAGAAGCAGATTTTCATCCAAATGCATGAACAATAACACAGACTGGTTGAACTTACTCTCTACAGAGAGTTCCACAGTGGGGGGAGGGGAGTGGCATGGGGAAAGAGAAACATACATCTGTTAGCATCCTGATAAAAACTGACACTCAGAGTAAACCCATCTGGTTTCCAACACAAAATTTGAAAAACTGTCTCGATACAACAGATATCTGAGATGTTTTGTTGTGCACACTAGCAACAAAAGAGATGAAATAAATGACATGGAAGAATAAAAAAAAACAAAAGGAGGAGGAGACAGACGGAGTCAGGGGACAGATCCATGGTGAGATGCTGTACCTTGAAGGAGGCTGAGCTTATACCGGATTCTGCGGTGCCGTACACCCTGCCGGAGTCTCGCTGAAATTCATCAAATCGTCAAATCGTCAAACGAGTGGAAAAGAAGTTGTTCACACACCTTACGCCGTGTGTGAGGCAACGGAGCACTCATAACGCCGAAAGAAAAAGTGTTAGAGAGGACGAACCACAGCTGGTTAGTCAGAGAAAAAGAGCTGGCAGCCCAATTACTTGTGTGTGTGTGTGTGTGTGTGTGAAGTGTCTGACTGTGTGTGGGGTCAGTGTTGTTGTTTCAGGCTACAGGTAGGGAGGGAATAGAGAAGGCAGTGGATGCAAAGAACGCAGCCAGCAGGTTGGCTGCTAAACGGTGACAGAGCAATCCCACAGGGCGGCGGAGAGTGTGAGATCACACGCAACGTCAGGTGTGACATGCCGTTAGATGTTTTACACACTCTGCATGCCAGTGTTTATGTCTCAGTGTGGATATCCTCAGGCTCATCTCCTAGTTTCACCTAAAACCCATGAAAAACGGTTCGATTTACAAATGTGTTTGTGTTTTAAAGAGATCCTACACTGTCTGTGTTTTGGCAGAATCCGGTAAGAGTGAAAGATGGTGGGATAAATAAAGTGAAACCAAGAGGTCAAATAAAAATGGGTGAATAATGAATGGTGTGTGTTTTTGAGCGAGTRCTGGGCTGCATGCAGTCGTACCTTACTGTGAGGGTCTGCAAACATCCTGGAGAAGATTTCACACAGCCTCTTTAACTCTACTCGACTGCAGAATGAAAAAAAAAACAGTTAGCTAAAAAATAAAACGGTCATGAATTCATCTTTTGAAAACGTGTTCGTTGTCTGACCTGAGTGTGCGTTGGTTCTTCAGCAGAGCCTGTAGACCTAATAAACCCTCTTTTCTCTCAGACCAGTTGGCGCTGGCGCAGCGGTTGAGCACCTGGAAATGGTTCAAAATAAAAGCACCAAAAACACACAAACAAAAAGGTTAGCTAAAACGTTAGCAWGGCGATAAGAAAATGAGAAAATCTTTAGTTTTAAACCAAAGCAACAAGTTTTCATGGTTTAATTTTTAGCAAGAGAAGCAAAAACAATGGAACTGAACAAAAACACTGTAATTAGGATTATATTCCACTAATTTAGTCTATTTTTGTGCTCATAAACAACCCAATCAAGCTAGCTCATTATAAATAAAATGTGTTTTAATATCTGCCAGATTAACTCAATAATTTTTTTAATTAGATTTCAAAGTAACAGCGCTAACCTCAGCTACATCTTCTGTTTGCCTCATGTAGGTGGAGATGGCGCCTCCGTTCCTGGAGCTGCACGACCTCTCCGAGCAGACGCTGGACGCGTCGCTGTTGGCGTCGTCGTCTGAATACATGTTGCCGTAGTTCTCATAGCGCCGCCGTGCTGGCTTCTTCTGCAGGAAAGACAGCGAGACTGACGTAAACYGTAAAAGGTGCACGACGCATCCCGAGAGAACATCTGAGCACAAGACGACAGGCGGGTGAGAGCCAGGAGAAGGAGCTGACCTTGGATCTCATGTCTCCCAAYAGCTGACAGCGTTAAACAGAGGTAGAAGCAGGGATTAGTTAACACGCAGACATACGCTCAAAATGACAGCGTGCTGGAATGTGGTGCGAGTTTAAGTGTTTCGGGTGTTTGTGTGTGAAGGTTTGAGGAAAAGCCTACCAACGCATCTGCAAGAGCCTCTTCTACATCAGAGCCTGTGTTCAAGACCCGCATGGCGCTGACTGAAGACGAGAGACGACTCGACTGGCTGATGCCAAAMCCCGATCCTGCACAGAGATAAATACAGACAGGACGGACAGAAGCAGAGCARAAAATAAAATAAAAAAACATTAATAAAGTTGTGAAAAATACACCAAAACAAACCCCAGTTTCCTTTTCCTCATCACCTTTCACGCCAACACTCACGCAGCTCACACACAAACAATCCTGCAAGTTAATGTGATGGCTTGTTAGGTGAGAATGCCACTGGGAGGAAAAAAGGATGACATAAAAACACAAGAGTTGATGTTCCAGCAGAATTGAGGCGGAGCTAAATAAACAAAACAAATGGAACAGAAAAAAACAAGAAAAAGTTATTATTTTAGCAACCGAACAAGCGGAATCATGCAGTTCCACTGGAGGGTTCAACATCCTGGAGCACAACATAAAAAAATGACAAATTAAATTAAAACTGATGCTGATGGACGAGAAAACAATTAGGTTATCTAGAGAAGAGGATGACCGGCACTGAAAAGAACAAAAATGAGCAACAAAAAAAGATTAAAAAAAAAAACTCTGGCCAAGAAGGTAGGTGAGGGACGAGGAAATAGATGTACTCAGCCTTCACCTGCAGCCCCAAAAGCATCAGGTGTGTGGAGAGCTCCAGTGGAGCGCGAGTAGCTCCGAGTCGCTGCAACCGAGACGCGTAGAGTTTAACACGCACACAAACACAAGACAACACACGCAGGAACGTCAGACAAACTCTGCAGCGCRTGAAATTAGAAAGAAAGGCAGAAACATCTTAACACAAGCCTGGGACTAGTATTCCTCCACTTTGCTTAAGTCTTGAAACAGAAATAAAATCTAAAGTTAACTCTTTTTTTTTCCAGTCATCCCTCTCAGGTATCTGGCCACCACCGCTACTCACCCAGAGGTGTGAAGGAGCGTACGGGGCTGGTGTCCCTGCTGCTCTCCCTGCTGGCCTCCCTGCTGCAGCCCTGACTCATACTGGGCCGAGGGATACGACTGCCTCGAGCTAACGCCACCCAACCGCACAGCGCAGGACAGGAAACAGGAGAAAAGGAGAACAGGAGCCACAGGGAAGAAAGTGATCGTGAGACGAAACGTGGAGAAGACGTGGAAGAAAGTCTAACGTGACAGTTGCACAAACAAATACATGAWGAAGAAACAAATAAAAGTGATAGAAAACAGATGGAGGGGACGTTGAAGGAGCATCTCAACATATGTGACCCATCAAATCGAAGTGAGGATTACGTCTAAAAGTGGTATATGGAGAAATAGGCAAATGTKGTGTTTTGATTAAAACACTTACAAAAGGTGTATTTCATCAGAATATAACTTATCAAAGTTTCATTTGAATGAACTGTGTAAAATATAATAATAAATAAAATTTTGAATCACTTTATTGAGCAGTAGCAACAAAAAACCTGATTTTGAGGAAAAACGCCTTTAAATTTTGAGATTTTCCATGTAAGCTAGCAATGTTTTTGTTTCTTTCCAGCTGGGAAATCTCAATATTGAAGTACTATTTGTGATTTCCTCTTCATAATAAAATGAAAAATTCCTCATAAAAATTACATAAAATTAGGATTCAGTCCAAATATTAATGTATGATCATAATCAACAAGACAAATTAWGTCATATCWCTTGTTACATTTATGATATCAGAGTGTTCCAGGTATCAACATGTAGCTTTTAAAGCCAASAATCTRAAAATGTGATCAGGTCATTTGGACCAAATTTGAATTAATCCTCATTTCGATATGATGGGTCACGTATACTACTAGAGCTGCTGCAGCAATTAGAAGTAACTTTCATTGATTGTTTTGTCATAAAACAGTAAAAATCACTGATCAGGTTCAGTCTTTATTGGTTTAACATCTTTAAACAGCCTCTCGTGTCCAACTAGTGGACTAAACTGTTATAAAGTTGAAATTAACTGGAGAGAGCAGCAGCTTTGGATGAGATGCTCCTTTCAAGAAAGAACATAACAGTTTGACATTCAGTGTCTATTTCTCACACACAAAGACCAGAAAAGGAGCCATTCAAGGTGGATTTTATGAGCTGGTGGGTGAGAGGTGGAGGCCTGCAATCATCTTTACTGTTCAATGCTCTGTTCAACATCAGCAGCAGCCATCCAGGGGTAATCACAGCCTACGAGTGCGCTATAAAGAAGGTTCACTGATCCTGCAAGAAGGCTTGTATCACAGCCACTAACAACAGGTTAGTACAGACGGAGGCAATGTGTTCATGAAGCGTGGAAATCATCTGCTGATCTCGGGGCGCCCGTCACCACAACAACGCAGCCATGAAATCAGACAATTCACAGAGATGGGATCTATGAAGCCGAGGCAGCKAGCGCAGATGGAGAGGCTGGGATGAGATTTTGTAATGGATAGAAAAGAAATGAGGATTTTGTGGGGAGGAGGGTGATGATTTCAGATAAGGAGAGAAAGAGTGGATGCTCTGATCTGCGTCGGAGCCTTACCTCCTCTGCTCGCACTGTTGTAGTTGGAGCTAAGGCTAGAAGGAGCTAGARGACAGAGGAAGCAGGGTCGGGAGGAAAAGAGGGAGGGGAGAGGAGCAGAGGAAGAACAGGTAGACGGGGAGCAGGAGAAAAACAAGCTGAGTTTGGACCCAGACCTCACAGTGCACCGAGGCGAAGCCTCCGAGTTCTTGCTGATRTTTACAAACTCACCGACGGACAGGCGAGTGGGGGAAGAGTCTCTGGAGCAGCCCTGGCTGCGGGGGATGCGGCTGCGCCTCTGCCCGTCCCCGGCGGGTCCAGCGAGGACTCTGTGAGCCCCCGAGCTCATGGTGCTCAAGGCCGTGCTCGTCAGCACACGACCCGGAGAGCCGCTCCGGCTGCCAGCTTCAGAGAGGCGCAGGGAGGAAAAAAAAAACAAGACAAACACAGAAAGAGCAAAGTCAGTGCCTTCTTCATGCAACATGAAGCTTTTACCAAMAAAAGCTGTGACTCCAAACCCCCTCTAATGTGACATTTTTTTTATTACAGCTGACAAACAAAGTTCTGCTACACTTAAATAAGATATTTTCTTAACACACGAGAGTAAGATGGATCACAGATGAATCCTACTCACTCCAAAAGGAAACAAATTCATACTTATAAACAAACAAAACAATGCAACGATTATGATTGAAATGTGTTTATGTGACTCTCAWATCTTTCAGTCATTAATGAAGTCCAAAAATGTTACTTTTCTTTCTCCTGGGGATCCTGACTCCAAAATGCTTCTTTTATTTGACAACAAACCTACATCACTACAACTCTGAGGACAAACAGATGAAGAGTATTTTCTCTGTGGGACAGGACAGGAAACGTAAAAATAGATTTTTGGGAAATTGTTTCTGTACTGATTTCTTCATGACTCAAAATGGACATCTCTGAATGATAAACTAAACACACACACACACACACAGAGACACACACACATACACAGAGAGACACACACAGCACAGGACATTTTTCTAATAGGGCTGCACAATATTTACAATTTTTTTTTGTCATCTCAATATCACTATATCACTCAGGACCAACTGGTTTAAACACCAACAACCAATTTAAACAATAGCAGAAAAGCTAAAGTGGGCGTGCCAGGTGTCGTGATGATGGAAGAAAATGAGACGAGTGAGAAAGATATGTTTAGCACATCTGATGTAGTCAATGCAATATTAATAATATTGCAATTGCAAGTTTTCCTAATATTGTGCAGCCTTAAAAATYTACAGGTGGGTGCTTAAAGACAGAGACCTGAACAGAAAACATCTTAAAGGCAAAAACAGAGCTAAAGAAAAATGTGATACTTGGAAATAAACTTGGAAGAAATCTCCATCCCTTTAATAAGATTACAGGTTAAATTTTATATTAAATGTGTAGCATCTCAACAATGTGTGGCCTGTAGGTACAATTAATATTGTTTTTTCCATTTCTTCTTTAGTTTTATAGCAGCACAAAACAAAAAAAGCCCCTCAGATTAAAAAAAAAACTAATAAATAAATAAAACATGAAAGGGTATTTTGGCCAAAATCATTTGTTTTGGATCCAACTATTCTTTTCACATTAGGTTCAAAAATAAAAACTTTTGTTTTGAAATCCAAGCACACATAAGTGCAGTAACATGAAGCTCACAGAAAGGTTTATTACGAATGCTAAACAGCCGTACACAAAGTCTGCAACTAGATATCCCAGCATGCCTTTGCCACAGTGCAGGAAGCTTTAAATGCTCGTTCTACGTGGTTGTGAGAAGACAGAAGTCTGGGCGACAAACGGCAGTACAACTAAACACTAAAGGAAGTTGTGGGGAAAGTTTAAAAAGTAGCGCTGTAATCTTACCACCGACAGTGTTAGCAGACTGAGATCCTGAACCATTGGTTGAGAGGAGAGGGGAAGCAGAAGTAAGGAGGAGGGGTAAGGAACAGCAGATTAAACCAGATGAATAATGGGTTAAAGCAAAAAGCATCGTGTGAGTTAGAAGACAGAGCTTAATGGGAGCGCAGCTTGGTGTTCCACACCAAGAATGGAGGTGAAGCTAAATGAATCCATTAATAAAAACAGGAGTACACATGAGCTGAAGCAGCTGCAAACGGCACACTGGGAGAAGCAGTGCATGTTGGGACGACTGGTATGAAACCACCTGTTCACAATGAGGTAAAGAAAATTCTTTAAAAGGAAATAGGTGCAAAAATATCCACACACACTGTGTCCCACCCACACAGAAACCTTTTTAAGCATTTTCCTCATCTCCTGGGAATCCTGAGCTTTGAACTGATCAGGGAACCGAMGTGTGTCTTTGTATAAACGTTCAAGTGTGGTTAGCATTTCAGTGTTATGTGTGCTAATATTTTAGCTGCGCTTTTTGGTTAAAGTGTTAAGTTTTCCATCCTGAGCTTAAAAAAACCCTAATACACGTCAGAGCAAAGCTGGAGCAGCAGAAATAAATTCTTCACCACACCACCCTCGGTGATGAAACACAACATGCAGAGGAAAATAAAACAAAACACACACACACTTCTCTTACACAAAACACCTTGATCAGAATGAGAGCAATAGCATGTGGGCCACCATCCCCACTGTGGTACACAAAAAGACACACACACACACACACACACTCTGACAGACAAATACCTGGAGTGCAATCGGATTCGTCGGAACCTGAAGGCACAAAAATATTTACAAGGAGCTTATCGTTACCATGAAGGCAACAAGTTGAGAAACTCCACAATTAAAATGTGAAAAAAAAAAAAAAAAACCACAATCACTCCAAAGAAGGTCACACAAACATCACAGCTGTCCGCAAGTGGGCTTCACACCCAGCCAGGTTCGAATCGTCGTCGTTTTGCTTGAATTTCTAAAAAAATCGGGACTTACGCTGCGACTGGGAGACCATCTTGGTGCGGCTGCGTCCTCGTGAGTCCACTTGGCTGGAAACGCTGCTGGCTGTAGTGAAGGGCTGCTTAGTGCGAACGCGGCCTGGGTGGAATAAACAACCGTAAGAACGGAAAACCAGATTCACTTCCTGCGYTAAAACAACAAGTCACAAACGCCTCACGACTGAACGAAGCCCAGCAACTAAGAAGCTCTATGGCTGATCGCCTCTAATGCTGGAAATGGCTCCACTTCTAGCTCTTCACCCAAACATWCACATTCAGCCAGGAGCAGACAGAGATAGCAGAGATGCTCCAGTGGATCACTCTCAGTAAGAAAACATTTAAACATCTCTAAAAATCACTAATCATTTCAAAGTTTGTACAGGATTTGATAAAGCAAAATCTTTGACATCATTTGAGAGTCAGGGAATTATTTTGATTCAGAACATAATTTGGTTAACTGCATGGAAAAAATGATTTATTTAATTACAGACTAGTGTTAACTAATCAAATCGATTTATTATGAAATTATGAAATGTTTCAGGTATGGCTTTCCAACAAGAACATCTCTAAAAACACGCACAGAAATAAGCACCAGACAACAATCTTACCATTGTCTGACCTGGTCCCTACAGACAGACAAAAAAGGAGCACGTAGTAAGTTTGTCGGTTGTATTAAAATATTAAAACACACCCTGATCATCCTGATTAACGTTCAACATCTGAGCGATGAGGTTTAAAGCAGGTGCAGAGGGTTAAAACAGAAAACGATTTCATCCTTGGTTAGGATCTGACACACGATGTGATGAGCACCAAGGCAGTAACAAACGCTTACAGCAGGGGGCAGCGTGAACACATCCTGTCACAACAACTGAACTTACATGGAGCGGGGTGAAGTGAGGAGGGGAAAGTAAAGAGAAGAAGCTGAGTGAGATGATCTTACCATCCGTTTTATCAGAGGCATCATCTTAAGCAGCAAAGAGAGCAAAAACGTACAAAGAAGGAAGAACGGCAATCGTAGAATAAAGATCCAAAAGAAGAAGACAAAGTAAAGGAGAAGAGGGAGATTAAAAGAATTGTGAAAAAAATATGAAAAAAAGTGCAAGGCAGGAAAAAAGGCAGGTAGAGAAACAAGAGAAGAAAAAAGTGCATTAGTAACATACCATCTGTTTAAAAGAGAACCATGCAGGTGAAGGGACAAACGTTGACACACACAAAGTAAATGGAACAACAAACATGCACAGAGAACATCAACATCAAAATGAACAGGAAGCAGAGGACGAGGAGAGAGCTGGAGATATTTTACTCATCATACACCTCAGAGCTGGGAGCTTTCTTCTTTGTGTGTCTGTTGACCACTGCCTGCTCTGCCTCATTAGTCACCTAACTTGCCTGAGGGGGGCCCTTACCCAGAGAGGAGTAGGAACCGGGGGGCAGACGGCCTGTTCCCCGGGCCTGTCCGACGTGCCGGTGTTTAGCAACGGCTGCTGCGTTCACATCCACATCGCTGCGGGAACGCTGCAGGGAGACTGGTGACATCCCAGCCTTTGCAGGGGCAGGGACTGACGGGACAGGGGGTKGGGGAGCGTGTTGGAAAAGGGATGGGAGGTGACGGGATATAAATATATATATATATATAAACACAACACATGCAGGTAACATACTACATTTACACAATAAGAGAACATGTAAAGTCTAACACATGTGTATGCGCACATGTGTATAGTACACAACAACAACAACAAAAAAACACAACAGAAGGTGAGTGTTCAGGTATGGACACAAGACGATGTCAATGAGAATGAAGGGACATGGTTTTATAGGACCTGAGGTTTCTCATGTGTTTGTGTGTGAGCATCAGGGTATGTGTTGAAAAGTGTGTGTGTTGGACGCTGAGTGTAGGAGTGTTGACTCACCTCGCCCTGGAGCTGCCGACCATTTGGAAGACAGAGGACGGCTGATAAAGGAGGAGAAAACTGGGTCATTTACTGGTTTATGAAGAAGACAGAAGGAGATTAAGTGGGGAGATTCCACTAATGTGGACGATGTGTTGCAGAAATGCCTCCACCCCCAAAAAATAGCGTTTTTTCTGAACACTAACGTGTTTCTGTTTCAGCTGAGAGATCTACATTCAGCTAGAAAAGAGCAGCGTTAAGCAATCATTACTTTAGACTCTCTTGAGAGGAAGATGAGGAGCGGTCGCTCTGAGGAAGAGAGGCCACGCTGCCAGAGCTCTTCAGACAGGACTGCAGCGTCCGCTGGTACGACGGCTCCAAGGAGTTGTAAAGAGCATCGGCTTCTGCTGGGAAGTGGTTCCTCAGACCCCAGTAGGCCCTTAAATACAGAAATATCAAGTAAGAATATAAAACAAACATGCGAAAGAGAAGTAAAAAAAAAAAAAAACAAATTAAGGACGTGTATGTCTTACTTGCGGGCCTCCACTCTGGCCTCTGAGTCGGCGTCTCGGATTCCCTTTTTAATGCTTTCAACCAAAACTGTCGTGTGTCTGAGACAGAGGAAGGAAAGTGAGTTAAAACACGTCATGGATCATTTGCGCAGCACACAGAAATGATCCATAAAGCAGACWGTCTCTTCACACATAAACTGAGTATTTTATGTGTGAAAAAAAAAAGAAATTTGCTCCTTTTAAACTGACTGTAACACTCTACACTGGTCAAAATTATTGGTATATCARCCAGAATATTTGTTTTTGTGTGACAATAAGTTCCCTGCATGAAAGGTTTTAAGTTTTAGGTGTCCACATACACTGAAACTCTAATTTTCACTTATTCCTGATGTATCAAAAGGCGTTTAATGACAATAAAAGATGCTGGAGGGATGTTTCAATGTACTGGTAACATGAGACTGCATGACTGTCATTTATAAAAAAGAAAAACAGATAAAGTGTTCTTACCTTTCTAAAGAGTGTGTATGCCATTCCTGTAGCAGAAGGTCCAAGAAATCATAACAGCGTCTGGAAATCACAGATTTCTTTTAATCTAACCAAATTTATTCGTCATAATCCTTTTGATATTTTGTCCTGATCATGTTTACTAAAGTCGTCAGCTGCTTTATCTTACCTTCTTACAGCCACTGACTTGGATGTGCAGTTACTGGTTATCAGAGGAATAAGTCTGGGGACATGCGTGTGCTGTAATAAAAGGATTGTTTTAGGTAAGTATTGTCTGAAAGATGCCACAACCCCTTCACTAAGAAGAAATGATGTTTAAAGTTAGATAAAACTCACCCGTATAATGATGCGGATGGCTGAGACACCGGAGGTGGCCATAACTTTGGCACAGTTGGGGATGAGGTTGAACAGGACGGGAACGATGGCTTCTGCCCCGTGGTCGAATTTATTCCCCAGTACTGACGAGAGGTGACTGCACAGAGACATAAAGTTTCACATACTCTTTTGGTACTTTTTAATCCAAATGTTCTTTCAGTGGCCTGTGCATCTATTATTAAACACTCACGCCACAGTGATACAGGCCTCTCGGACCACTTGTGAGCGCAGGTCCTTTGCAGACAGTTTGAAGGCTCCGTCCAGCAGTCGTAGATGCTGGTAAAAACAATCATAGCTGGCCGCGTCCGCCACCAGTAAAGAGCGAATTTTCTTCAGCTGTAAAAACAAACAAAATCATTCTTAAACACAAGCAGGAGAACGAGAACTGAAATGTCRAAAAGAAAATGTTTTGACTAAAATGAAAAGACTTGTGAGAGAGAATCTACTCACAGCGTTGCATCTCTGGTCCCAGTCGTGTTTGTCATCCGAGCAGATTTCCCGGATCTTATTAAGGTTGTCCTCGAGATCCCTCGATGAGTATATCTGCGAAATACAGAGGAAGGAAATGGGAGAGATGGCTTTGAAACTGTGTAAAGTAAAAGTAAATTATTAAACAGGATGAAAGTGCGCAATTACGCACAATTAAGCTTTAATGAGTGTTGTACCTGGACAGTGGGGACATCTGTAAAGGCTTTAATGAAATCCTCTTCATCAACTGCACCAGCACTTTCTTTTGACACTGAAGAAAACAGAGAAGAATCATTTAATCTGTCATCTGACCCATCCAAAATTAATCAGCCGTAGCCTCACAGCTCTSAGGCCAAAACAAGCAAATTCAGACTGTAAAACAGCAACCTGACATAAAAGAAACATTACAAATATATGTTTTAAACTGTGCTTTTCTGAGTCTTTTGAAGTGAACAACTCATTTCCAAAACTAAGTCTATAAACATGTGCTAAAACACTTCAATAGAGGTAGTAGGCTGTGTTTTTAGTGAGCTTTGTGGCAGTAATGAGCCTGTCAATCACAACTCTCTAGGGTCTGGATGATTTGTGAGGCGACACCTCCTACAACTTCTCCCTCAAGGAAGCAATAATAAAATAAGAAAACGAAGAGAAAGAAAGCAAATAGGAGCTAAAGGCAATCCAAGAAGATAGGAATGATAAAACTGTGAGACCAGCTGGAAATATGATATCCGGAGAAGAGGAGGCTGAACAGTAGCCACAAACATGGAGGAGAGGTGGGCATGACCAGAGAGCAAGACAACTGTTACGTTTGTATTTCCAAAGGTTACTTTTTATTTCAGACTGTGCCTAAAAGATTCATGTTTTTTTTCCTTTTGTTTGTTAGCAGCAGGGACTATCCCGAGCCACTCACAGCTTTAATTACAGCTTTATGAAGCTTGAGTTCAAGGTTTTTGGTTGAACAAGCAGTAAACGCTGCAGTAAAGTATCTGTTACTTGTGTCAACACATTTGGGGAATCATAATGTAAAGATGATTATTACCCTCTAATGGGGAATATTGGTTCTGCCTTGGCTAACATAAAACAACGACATGACATTTGGAAAAGTCAAACCTCCAAACAGTTTTAGACGTTTTCCTGTTAAGATGAATTATCAACAAACTGAAACCTCCATAATCAGTTTGAGTGTCATAAAGACAATAAAATCATTACTGAGTCAATTTTTCTACAGCACAAAAGATAAATCTGCAAAATTAGTAATAGCAATTAGCTACTTTTTCCCCACTTAATTTTTAATGCATATCTGACAAAAAATAACATCCTTTTAGACAATTACCTGTCTCTTACACCTCTAACTAGTGACTGGTGTTTAAATTTAGCTGCATATTTTACAGTCATTTAGGCTAAAATGGAAAATCTACCAGTTTAAATTAATCACCTTTTATAATAAAACCTCAAACTCCAAAAAAACTAAACAAAAACATACAATTTCTTTAGTCACCCCTAAAAATAATAGGTTATTGATACTTGTACTTCTTTATGTATTTCTAAACTGATTTCAAGTATAGAATAAAATATAAAAATCCAACATAAAATCGTAATTAATTCTTACTCTAAACAGGCTATAATGAGGGCTTTTATCATCTGTTACCCAAACATTAGATAGCAAATCCAAATTTTAAATTAAAATTCAACATACTAAAAACAACCTTTATCTTATTTGTATTTAATGTGCATTCAGTTTTRAGAGTAATTATAAATTAAATACCAAGTTTGCTTCCAGTAGCGCTGGGCCTGCGTGCAGCAGACGACTCTGCAGGCTTCTTGGGAACTTTGGGAACTTTGAAGCTTGCAGAAGAGCGTCCGTCCACACTGTCATCATCATCAAAACTACGATCTGTGAAGTCAGAACAGACATCATCATCATCATCATCATCATCTGCATCCCAATTTCCACACGGACGTTAAATAAACTTGAGCATAAAGAGGTGAAAACCTTAAAGTCAAAACAAAATAAATGGCAAAAATATTCAGGAGTGACTAAATTGATATTAGTTATAAACATCCCACTTGTTGGGGTGAAAAAAAAACGCTACCTCAAACACATATAGAGACATTTCTGAAAGATCAGTCTGTGCTCAATCTGTCCAACCAGGAGACAGGTGACTGACAGAACTCCTTTGAGGTACAGTAAATCCTTTTTCTGCAAGTTAGCAGAAAACATGCACGCTGAAAAGCTATAACTGAAACTTGATACGAGGCTGTAACAACGATGTGCACAATACACACAAACACACACACTCACAAGTCGACTGTGGAGAACAAACTGTTGGTGGAGGAATGCGCTTTAGTTGTTCTGACAACCAGCCATGGAGAAATGCGCTAAAGCCACCACCCAATACGTTGACACATACATCTCACCTCCATACAAACACACACACAGAAGCATCACAAAATCAGTCAAATGCATAACTGAGTGCATACACTGGCTTAATTTATCAGAATTATGGGAAGGCCTATTGTGTTTGGTTTGGATATGTAAWGATGTATGCATAACATTTACACACAGCTGACACAAACAACTCCATCCCTGCACTTACAGTCACAGATCCGYTGGCAGATAAGACGCCTCATGCTTCTGTGAAGGCGAGGCGTTGCGGTCCGCCCTCTKTCCTCCAAGCCGTACCCCAAAGCAGACACCTCACACACACTTCATAGCATGGCTAAGGCCGGGCAAACACTCATCTCGCACGTATCGCCATCCAAAAGAGGAAAAAAAATGCCCCTCCACCCAGACAAGTGCCGGCATTTTCTTTCACTCCTCTCTACCTTCTATCCCTCCCTCTTCCCCTTCCCAGCCTCTCCTCTGCTTCTCCCAGCAGCCTCACGGCCAATCAGACGGGAGGTGACATCATGGTGTTGCAGCCAGTGCGGAGGCAGGGCCTTTCAAAGCGTGATGGGAGAGAAAGGGAGACACACACACACACACACACACACAGACCGACACCCCAGGAATATTAACAGGGTTGCTGTGTGTCACTCTCAGACCGGCTAACCTGAACTCATTATCGCTGACAACATCCTCGGAAATTCCTCCCCCTCTCATTTACCAGCAACCTCATTTTTGACTTGCTACATTCACTACTTTCAAAAGGAAAACAACAACAACACATTCATTTGGTCTGCATTTTTCCTACGTACACAAAAGAACAAAGAATGAAGAGGCCAATGTCAAGACGATAGGGAGGTGGAGGGTTGAGCCACGCCCCTTTGAGGCTTCCAGTTTCTCATTGTGCCTCACAAGCCTGGCTGGATTTTCTGTTTTGTTTGGTGAAATTTAAGCTACTTTAAAAAGACAAAAAGGTCTATCATCTTTTTTTTTTCAAAAAGTTTCACATTTACACAAAACAGGCAGCAATATGATCCAAAAAAATCTGTCAAGTTTACAGATGTGGTAGGTCTGWAAACATTATTGCATAACAGCACGGTTGCAACTATTTTAGCAAACTTGAGTCATTTTAAATATAAACTAAATGTAATTTTTAATCGCCAGTAAGAAAATTGAATTAAAATAATTCAAGTTCCTCATCTTTACAAAATAAGTCTGTCCTATAAGCTGTTTGCATTAAATGCATTTTACATCGTATCTACTGACATCAGCACTTTCCAGGTGGTACTGCTATTTGTACCGTGTCTGAATTAAATCCAGTAGCATTTTGTAACAAATMCCTAATTAATCGGTCTTTGTTCAATTTTAAACACATCTAAAAGGCAGGTGACACATTAAAAGACAACCTGAGTTTAATATAACCTGGCAGCTCTTTTGCTGAACACATGAGCTAAATAGACGACGAACAAAAACATTTCTGTTGCAGTCAGCGTAAGCTAAAGTAAAATGAGATTAATTAGTGTACTTTCACCACTCTACATTCGTGATACTTAAATATGTGATAAAAACATTTTTATTCATTGAAGTTTCTTTGTTTTTATGCACAAAATGAGCTAAACCATCTCCACTTGAGGTAATCCGTTCCTTTGAGGCAGAATTTATGATGTATTTTGGAGTATATTTATWAGGAGTGTAAATTTGTGAGTATAGACACAAACTCATTTCAACCTGATCATTTCTACTATAGTAGAAATATTTTACTTTCATTCTAACATTTTTGTTTGTAAGCTGTACAACCATTTGTAGTCRTCGTGACACTGGCAGCCACATGTCGTTCATGATCAAAAACACATCAAAGAAACATAGTGAAGGTTTAAAGGACCTGTGKCATCAAGTTTTTGTAATAAACATGAATAAATTTTTGGAACGATAACATTGATAACATGTTGCAAAACAAATTTCACGTCACTGAGATGAACAGTTGTTGAGATATTTACATGTGAAGAAACAGGAAGTGATGTCAAAGGGGAATGTCTGCATGTAAACACAGTGTTGTAACAAAAGCTAACAAAACAGACTTTAGAGAAGAATCTGATGTTTCTTTAGATTATTTTTAGTTGCTATCAAAGAGTCGAAGAAGAGTTAAAGTTTAAATAATTTATTTTTAATAAACCAAGACCAGTGAGTTTATTTTATTAATGAGTTCTCCTTTGATGTCACTTCCTGTTTCCCTTTGGCTGAGCCAAATTCAAAAGAAAATATACCAGTTATGTGACAAAATGGGTAAAAATCATGTGTACTATGCCAATTTTCTTAAGTATAAAGATGCTTTCTTTGACTTTTTGTATTTGAAGGATAGGCGTGTCTCAGCCACTTCAAAAGTAGCGTTTGAGGACGTTCTTCCTTGCTCAAATTTTAGAGTAAATTGAAGTTTGACAACAATTAAAAATACTAAATTAATTTATAGTGTTGAGAATCAATTCTATTGCTTCCTTACAAMACCCATGGGTCCACTACCAAGATCTCGTCATGCATCGGGGATTTAAGCATTGATTAGCATTAACGTTAGCATGATTAGCATCTCTTGCTTTTCACTAGTCAGGCCCCACGGGAGTGCGTGTGTCTGGGTGAAGGGTAAAGCGAAGACAGCTGAGCGAGGGAGGAGAGGGAGAGAAAGTGAGTGAATCCATCGTTGAGACGAGGCTGCACACATGCTGTTGCCATGGTGACATCAGCAGCTCCGCTTCTCCAACGAATAAAGTGGCAAAAGAGAAACCATGAACTGTTTACATCAGTTGATTCAACAGCTGGATTAAGAGTGTAATGAATTACTTCATGAYGTGTTAATTAAACAAAGTTAATTCTGTTTTTTTTCCTGATGTGGAAGAAGGGCTGTATTTTAGATCACCATGATAATGAACTGCTTGCATAAAAAGAAAAGACACGGCACATCCAGTAAGTCTGTAAACGCACATACTGATATCAGCTCCACCGTGTACCACGCACCATTACCATGGAAACCCCAGGCCGAGAGTTACTCCTCTCTTCATTTYGTGAGAGGATTCAACGGCAAAAATTACAACAAATARAATATTTACACCTGAAATACAATCCTGCAAAAATAGTCTGCTTCAAGTGAGCAGTTCCAGTTCTCTCACACACACATGTAAACAAACAAACAAACAAAAAAATACAAACATGCCAGGTGGTATGGATGTAGTGGCGTAAACTGTTCTGACTCTGATGCTAACAAATACAAAGTTACAGGAAATTCAAGCTGAAACAGACGAAAGCTCACATGTCAGAACTGCTCACAGGTCTGTTCATGTTTTGACCACACGATGGCAGCACTGTCTCTGCTGTCAAAGATCAGACTTTCTGATATAGTATTTAAATAGTTTGTGTCATTCTGCATGTGGAGGTGTCACAGAACAAGAATAAGAAAGCTTGTCTTTAAAATTGTCAACATTATTTCATTATTTTTATTGTTTATCTTGCACTGAGCTGTTCTTTATTAAAGCCTGATACAGATATTAATGCCGATTTATCATGCATCCCTAGTAAATGAGGGCACAGATTGTAGTGTAAAGCTCTTTGAGTATCCTGGTTGGATAGAAAGACGCTATACAAGTACAATCTATTTACCATTTACCATTCACCATTCTGGGAGGATCAGAAGGTGTTCCCAGGCCAGCAGAGTGAATGTTTTTCTACAGCGTGTCCTAAGTCTTCCCTAGGGTACCCTTCCAGTTGAACATGCCTGGAAAACCTCCCTAGAGAGGCGTCCAGGGTGCATCCTTACCAGGCACCCGAACCTCCTTAACTGGCTTCTCTGAAATGGATCCATGATTAGTTGTAACATCAGACTTTATTTGATAAACATATATTTTAACTGTAAAATAAAGAC